AAAACAATTGACCCCTGGGGGCGGGGCCAATTTTGACGCCCAGGGCTTTTTATTGAAGAAAAAAAAAAAAAAAAAAAAAAAAAAAAAAAAAAACAAACTTGGTACACACCCATTAGAAGATGTTTTTCATGCTAAATATCTTTAGCTCTAGCTCTATGGGTTCTTTAAAAAGAAGATTTTTTTAAGTTTTTACTATATGTATAAAGGGAAAATCAATGCCCCCCGGGGCGGGGCCAATTTTGACCCCAGGGCTTTTATTTGAAAACAAACTTGGTAGACACTCACTAGAAGATGTTTCATGCCAAATATCTAAGCTCTAGCTCTTACGGTTTTTTTAAAAAGAAGATATTTAAAGTTTTTTTTCTTTCGGTTGCCAGTGGCAACCAGAGTTCTGCATGGAATTAAATTCTTTGAACAATTTTTAAAGGTGACCACAAAAGGAACATTCCTTTGAAGTTTGGATGAAATTGGCTTAGTGGTTTATGAGGAGATGTCATTTAAAGTAAAAGTTTACGGACGGACGGACGACGGACGGACGACGGACGGACGGACGGACGGACGCCGGACGAAAAGCGATCACAAAAGCTCACCCTGTCACTTTGTGACAGGTGAGCTAAAAATACAACTTGCCTCGGACTCTACAAGCATGTCTGGCTTGTATTTGAAGAATTTTTACAAAAACAAAATTAAGCTGGTTTTATCTGTCTGACAGAAACTAATTTTGATGATAACTGCAATCTTTTTAGGTTGAATATGATATGCATTAATTCTGCATTAGAATCTCTAGTCACCTAAATGACTAGTCCATACTCTTTAATGGTATTATTATTAAGTTAGCATTTATCAAAAAATCTATGATTCCTGTATGGTTGTTTCAATACAGGATAATGAAAACAAGGACCTGTTTGAATTTGGTAAAAAGTTTTTTTGTTTTTGTTTGTTTCTTTTACAGTTTAGATAATAATTTTTAGCGTGATTATTCGAAGAATAGTCTGAGCTTATGTACTTACCCTGGCGTCAGCATCACACTAGTAAAAGTTTTGCATTCAAACACACATGTTATTTTGACAGAATCATGCCCCCTTTTCAACTTAGCCTCATTAAAGTTTTGCATGAAGAGTCATATCTCCAAGACTGTTCACACAGATATTAAGGATGAAATGTAACAAAGGCCAAGAACTCTTGTTATGCATTGTTACTGAATTACGCCCCTATTTGGACTAAGAAAATCCAGATTAAGGTCTTGAGTGCAATATCCTATGTCCACAACTGAGACTACTAAAAATTTGAAACCAAACAAAGATTCAGGTTGAAATTCCAAGTCCATATTACAAAGGGACATAACTCTTTAGTATTTTGACAGAATTATGCCTCTTTTCGACTTAGAAAGTTGAATAGTCCAATATCGAGCTTTGATGTCTTACTGACAGCTCTTGTTATTGTTTGTAGTGTTTGCATTCAATATTCTTAGTTATGTTATTCCATTTCTTGTATGTTTCTTACATGTTTGAATTACAAATTATTTAAAACTCATATTTAGAGAAATGTAATTTATGGTGTGGTCGGATATGATATCACTGAAAAGTGCAAATGCTTGACTAATGTGCCCCTGAATGATATTCAGGGAGGAATGTGACTGGTTTCCTTTAATACCAGTATGGGAGCGAGATAATATTACCCTGACCGAGTGATAAGCAAATGAGTACTGATCGTGAACAGGGCAATAATGAGTGACATGTACAAGCACTACCGTTCAAGAAATGAACGTCACCATTTAAGCAATGAACATTTGCTGTTTTAACCAAATGTAAAACAGTTAAGAAACATATGTAAACTGACCAGGAAAAATATCAGAGAATTTATACAGTGTATGTAGCATCAACACATGAATCAGATTCAGTCATAAATGAATTAGTATGAAAACAAAGTTTCAGGAGTAATTTCATCTACGGATAAAATGCTGTTTAAATATATGTCTTTTTAAACTCAGTGTTGTGATTACTCAGAACAGATATATGTTTTCTCCATTTTAAAGGCCGTCTTAAATAAGTCTGCATAATTTGCAAAGACAGATAACATGTGAACTGTCATTATTGTGCTTATTAGTATAATAGTATTACTGGATGGTATTATTGTATTATAATTATACCCCCCCCCCTTCATAAAGTGAAGTGGGGGCTATATAGAAATCACAAATTTTTCAAGTCACCCATCCTGTCCAGTTTCGTCATGTCACACTTTATACATATTCATCTAACAGGACAATTTAATGAATAGGGATTAGGAATTGTATTGACATTTAGTAAACAGTTACATTTAGTTAGCGGTTACCACTCGCTTCAATGTTTAGGTTACATTCATCTAATAAGACAGGTTACATGTACTCTTTACTAAGAGAGGCAAAAGTTTTCATCAGATTTGTTTTTAAATTTGATTGGAAGGTTTGTCTTGATGATGTTTAATTACCTTCGGAATATATCTAGGTCATTTTGGGTCAAAAACTAGGCCACATGGTCAAATCATGGAAAAACCTTTTGTAGCCAATAGAGGCCATCAGATCTTTTTAAAATTTTGTCAGTCTTTATGAAATGTGGGTTTGGATTGTATGTTGGTCATCAGGGTTACAGGTGAGCAATATAGGACCATCATGGTCCTCTTGTTTCTAAATGCAAACTTGGCCTTGCATTCTATGTCAAATGTGTTATGCGAGGCTATTTTTATCATGTTTAGTGATAGTTCTACTTTGATCATACTTTAAACGATTCCAGTTTAGAAAAGAAATTAGATAGGGTAAACATGTAACTTGTAGCATTGTTTATAAATTTATGTGAATTGCATTTACCTCTTCATACTATTAACGTCAACTTTCTTTCAGAATCTGATTCAGATCCCTTTGATGTTGGTACAAGTGAGGAAGATGATGTTTATACCAGTGAACAAGATGATTATATTTCTGAAAGTGAAGAAGGTAAATGCTTTGATATTTATGTATGAAACATTTATTATATCCAATATGAATTTCCATCATGTCATGCACTGTTCTTTTTAAAACTTAAAGTTGATTTGTCTTTCATTATTGGTCTAAGAAAATAACTTACTTAGATTGAATTTATTTTTAGCTTGACTATTCGAAGTTGACTATTCGAAGAATAGTGAGAGCTTACCCACTCACGACACCCAGACATTGGCATGTTGGCATTGCGTGAGGCTTTCTTGTATCTCAACAAGTGCTAAAGATATTCACACATGTCTTTAGGGCCATAATGTAAGGTCACTAACCAAATCCCATAACTCTTGTTCTGCATTTTGACCAAAAATTCACTGTTTTTGGACAGAAAATTCTGCATTTAGTTTTTGCATGGAAGTTGTAGTGCCACAATGGCTGAAGATAATCACTTAAATTTCACACATGTCTTTGGAGTCAAAATTTACACATTTACTATCCAACACTTAATTTCAGAATTGATGAGAGATGAGGATTCAAACTTGAGCACTGTCTTCAAGGTTTATGTAAGTTGTTTTATGTGCTTAATATATATTGTTTATGAAGCAACTCATTGTCTATCTACATGTAAATTAAAGCCATATTTGCAGATAAGATGAATGTTACAGTGTTTGATTTTTGAAACTTTAGTTTTTTTGCCATGAATATTTGTTACTTTACTGATGGAATATTATGGTCTCAGCAATAAACATTCTATACTATCTTAAAATATGAAATATTGAGCCTATACTGAATTTTTTATATAAAATTAATTGATCCTTTTCGTAAATTTTCAACATTGCATTACATGAAAATGCAATCCACACCATACAATCGTGTACACAGAGCTGATTCTTAGTTACCATATTGGTGGAAATTCATGTGAACTGCCAATCTATTGCCCAGGAACTTATTCATGTGGTGATTTGGCCATTGAATGATTTCTGCATCTGTTCACCTCCTACCTCTGACTCAAGTAGGGCAGTGGTCATTTACTGGCATGAGAATGTGCTCTTGGTAATGGTGAAGCTTTTGTTGGCATATAGCTTTTGAACATTTAAAACATAGAATCTGTAATGGAATATATATTTTATGCAGTGGTCAACTTAAGGTAGTCTTACTGTAATGCTTTCCTGCCAAAATTTTTCTATCAACGGCCAAGATCGTAATAAATTGTTTATTTCCGGAAAGTTTTTTTTTTTTTAAATTTTGGACATTAGAGTAATCAAATCGCTCATTCTTTATCGCTATATACTAATTCCAGCTATAGTCAAATACAAATAATTAAATATGGGCATTATAAATCAAAATAACATTCTGGAAATAAACAATTTATTACGATATTGGCCGATGTTAGAAATATTTTGGCGGGAAAGCATTACAGTAAGACTACCTTAATGGAAGTTTGGAAGATATGATACATGTTATGCAGTTTGGTTCTCTATTGACTTGTAAAATTTCTGTTGTAAACACTTATTTAGCACCCTGAAGTTAATCAGCTACATGTAGATACATTGGAAGATCATCAGCCTGATCCATCAAAAGTTCATCAGTCTGATCCATATAAAGTTCAGCAGCCTGATCCATATGCAGTTCAGCAGCCTGATCCATATGCAGTTCAGCAGCCTGATCCATATGAAGTTCATCTTCCTGAACCATCTGAGGAACAGCCCCGTGATCAATCTAAGATTCAGTCAAGAAAAGAGTCTAAAAAGGTAGCTTAATTAACCAGGTTTTCCGAAGGAAAAAACTGGTTATTAGATTGAGGTATGTCGGCGGGCGGGCGGATGAGCGGGCGGACGGGCGGGCGGGCGTAAACAATTTCTTCTGTGCGCAACTCCTTCTACATTTCTCAAACAGATTTTAACCAAACTTTCACAGAAGCTTTGTCATCAAGTGCCCTGGCGCATATTGTCCGGGGTTTTGCGATTGGATAATATTTAACCTAATTATGGCCCTTTGTTTTTTTTCCTTATATAGAATATATTAGTTAAAACAATTTCTTCTGTGCGCAACTCCTTCTACATTTCTCAACGGATTTTGACCAAACTTTCACAGAAGCTTTGTCATCAAGTGCCCTGGGGCATATTGTCGGGGTTTTGCAATTGGATAATATTTGACCTAATTACGGCCCTTTGTTTTTTTTCCTTATAAAGAATATATAGTGAACAATTTCTTATGTGCGCAACTCCTCCTACATTTCTCCACGGATTTTGACCAAACTTTCACAGAACCTTTGTCACCAAGTGCCCTGGGGCATATTGTCAGGGTTTTGCGATTGGATTATATTTGACCTAATTATTGCCCTTTGTTTTTTTCCTTATATAGAATATATAGTGAACAATTTCTTCTGTGCTGAACTCCCTCTAGAATTCTCAAGGGATTTTGTTCAAACTTTCACAGAAGCTTTGTTATCATGTGCCCTGGCACATATTGTCAGGGTTTTGTGATTGGATAATATTTGACCTAATTATGGCCCTTTTTTTTTCCTTATACAGAATATATAGTGAACAATTTCTATCGTGCGCAACTTCTCCTACATTTCTCGAAGGATTTTGACCAAACTTTCACAGAAGCTTTGTTATCAAGTGCCCTGGCGGATATTGTCTGGGTTTTGTGATTAGATAATATTTGACCTAATTATGGCCCTTTGTTTTTTTTCCTTATACAGAATTATCAATATACATGTATAGTGAACAAATTCTTCTGTGCTGAACTCATCCTACATTTCTCAACGGATTTTGTTCAAACTTTCACAGAAGCTTTGTCACCAAGCGCCCTGGCACATATTGTCGGGGTTTTGTGATTGGATAATTTTTGACCTAATTATGGCCCTTTGTTTTTTTCCTTATACAGAATATATAGTGAAGACTTCTTCAGTGGCAATTCCTCCTACATTATTCATGTTTTACATTGCACATAGTTACATTGTTTGTTGCTTGTATTTGTATTTCAAATACAACATATTTATCTACAATGGTGATAATTGAAAACCTGGTTTCATGGCATTGCCATGTTTCTTGTTGATAACTAGGCTGTGTAGCTCAGTTTGTAGAGTGATCTCCTCAATTAACATTTGCATCATATATATAATGAGCTGGTCCCCTTAATGAACATTTCAATGATATATATATATATATAATGTACTGGTCCCCTTAATGAATATTTCAAAGACATATATAATACAATGGTCCCCTTAATGAACATTTCAAAGACATATACAGTTAAACTTCGTTGGCTGGAACTCGGATCACTCGAACACACGGGATCTCTCCAACCTTACGTCCGGTCCGGAACTTTTGCCTTCTTTATTCTATATAGTTCTACCTCGGATCGCTCGAACTTCAATAATTGGAACTCTCGAACAAGACTTAGGTCCCCACAGTCCAATAACAGTGATAATTACACCTGTTCGGTCGAACAGACAAATTGTCAACAAAAGCAGTGCAAGTTTTTCGCACCTCACCTTTGACTTGTCATTGTCCAAGCTTCCCAATTAAACGGTGTTAGCGTAATTATAACACTTTTGTGTAATTAGTGCAGACAATATGCAAACAATGAGGATATAGTGATTTTGATTATTCTAATACTTTTATCATGAATAAGAATTAAATAATAATAATAATAAAACATCAAAGAAAGCATCAGTGAAAGATTTCTATAAAATCACTGTGAGCTGAGATTGTTTCAGTGCAATGCTTCAGAAAATAAACTGTTGCGTGTACTTAATTTTAAAACTTTGTCAGTATAGACCACTCGTTTTCGTAACGTTTTCGCGTTATATTGTTTAATTAATATATTTAAACAAGTGCCAAGTCGCAATATGATAAAGGTTTGCTATTTTTGTGTGTGTTGTCGCACTGAAATTAGACATTTACTTGTATGATGTCTTTTCATTAACATTTTTAATGCTTCGAAGATTTTGTTTAGGTGATAATGGAAATAATAATTAAAAAGTTGTTTTCGACTTATGTTTGTTTTATCTTAATTATTAAAGTATGACACACTTTATTTACAATAGTTATTGCTATTACGTCCCTTGTAAGTTTTGTAGACGAATTTTAAAATTCAGAATGGCTGCCATTTGGATGGCTTGAACCACGGAAAACTTGAACTATTTTACATGGGACCCTCGAGTTCGAGTTATCGAAGTTCTACTGTATAATGCACTTGTCCCCTTAATGAACATTTCAAAGACATATATAATGCACTGGTCCCCTTAATGAACATTTAGAACAGATGATATATTTCATCAGTGATTTTCTGTACAGAATAGTTAAATCTCTGTTTTTGACATATTCATTCCTTATTTAGCACCCCGATCCATCTGAAGATTATCACCCCGATCAATCTGAAGATCAACACCCCGATCCATATGAAGTTCATCTTCCTGAACCATCTGAGGAACAGCCCCGTGATCAATCTAAGATTCAGTCAAGAAAAGAGTCTAAAAAGGTAGCTTAATTGATAACTAGGCTGTGTAGCTCAGTTTGTAGAGTGATCTCCTCAATTAACATTTGCATCATATATATAATGAGCTGGTCCCCTTAATGAACATTTCAATGATATATATATATATATATATAATGCACTGGTCCCCTTAATGAACATTTCAAAGACATATGTAATGCACTGGTCCCCTTAATCAACATTTGTTCTTAAACAGATGATATAGTTCATCAGTGATTTTCTGTACAGAATACAGTCAGGCCTCGTTAATCCGGGCTTCAATTTTCCGGAAAAATCGCAGTCCGGACGAGTTTACCCGGGGACGAAAATACTCAACTTAAAACTTAACCATTAATCCGGAAATTCATGTTTTCGGAACGGGACAGGTAATTTGGGAACCAAACTTCATTTTCAACATCAGTGTGACCGTTAATCCAGATGTATGCCCCTCGGTCAAAGAATTTCACAGCTATTTGTTTCGCTAATTGACATTGTCATCACATGTTACCTAGCAGGTGCCTGCTTGATTGGTTACTGATTGCAGAATTAATTCCTATTGTTAACCGATTAAAAGTGTCACTTGCCAATTAAGTGTTATGCAACAAACGTTTTGTTTAAATAGGCTATTAGGGATTTGATAATAAAATTGGGGGATGGACTTTTGATGTCTTTGAAAATTTTATTTGAGAAGGTGCTAATTGATTTACGAAGTGAAGTTTTAAAATTGAATCAAACATTTCTTACTTATCTATCAGTTTAGCGATTAACTTCATTTTTACCGATATGATCTTCAGCTTTACGGCGTGTGGAAAACGAACACAAAAACTAATAACATGTTTACATGTATTTGGCAATTATTATATTGAAAAAATATAGATAATCAATTAAAATAATGCAATTATTATATTGAAAAATATAGATAATCAATTAAAATAATGCAACTTGATTAAATTATTTTCGTCAGATTGACTTGCCTGACTGTAGTTAAATCTCTGTTTTGACATATTCATTCCTTATTTAGCACCCGGATCCATCTGAAGATTATCACCCAGATCAATCTGAAGATCAACACCCCGATCCATCTGAAGCTCATCAGCCTGATCCATATGAAGTTCATCAGGTTCAATCAGGAAGGAAGTCTAAAAAGGTAGGGTGACCTGTTTGAGTGGCTTATTTGGTAAAATATCTCTCATGAACATGGAGGTCTTATGTGTGTTCCTTTGTATAGCCATTCCTTTATAAGGGTGGGATCCGTTTCCATAAGACATTCTTTTTTATAGTGAAGTGTTAAAAGTAGATAAAACTAAACAAAACATAGGTTAACAGTTGTTTAAATTGAAAAGCTGATTGATATATTTATCAGTTAGTGATTGCAAACATCGAAAATAGAGCCTGTATACTGTATTCATGATTAGATAGTAGGTGTATACAATTACAGTAAAACTTCCATGTATCGAAGATGAGGGGACTTCTGAAAAAACTTTGATACATCGGGTCTTCCACTCATGATTTTTCAAGAATCTTCGAACAACTTCTCACATTGTATATGCCTACTTCATTATATTGGGTGAGTGAGGTATTAAGCACATTTGTGTGTAGTTCTTTTGAATCTTAAATTGCATAGTATTACGGACAAACAACATATTAATACAGAAATTTAAAAATACCTAAAAAGCAAAGATACAAAATACATCAATGTATCTTACCATATTGCAGTTTATTATCCCCCGCCAAAAATTTTCGGCGGAGGGTATAGTAATAGTCTCCGTCCGTCCGTCCGACCTTCCGTCCGTCCGTCCTTCCGTCCGAAATTTTTGTCCGGAGCATATCTCTAAAAGTATTTGAGTTATCAACTTGAAACTTCATAGGTGGATAGACCTCATTGAGGAGGAGTGCAGTGCACTAGAATGATAACTCTACCTTGCATGATTTTTGAGTTATTGCCCTTTGTTATTTTTCAAAATTGATTTTTGTCCAGAGCATAACTCCAAAAGCCTATGAGATATAAACATGAAACTTCATAGGTGCATAGATCTCACTCAGGAGGTGTGCAGTGCACAAGAATGATAACTCTTCTTTTCATAATTTTTGAGTTATTGCCCTTTGTTATTTTTCATACCTAATTTTTCACCTGAGTGGAGCATAACTCAAAAAGTGTTTGAGATATCAACATGAAATGTCATAGAAGGATAGATCTTATTGAGGAGAAATGTTGTGCGCAAGAATGATAACTCTTCCCTATACAATTTTTGAGTTATTGCCCTTTGTTGTTTTTTTCATGCTATTTTGTCCAGAGCTTATCTGAAAAAGTATTTGAGGTATCATCTTGAAACTTCATAGGTGGATGGATCTCATTGAGGAGGAGTGCAGTGCTAAAGAATGATAACTCTGCCCTGCATTTATTTTTGAGTTATTGCCCTTTGTTATTTTTCAAAATTAATTTTTGTCCAGAGCATAACTCAAAAAAGCCTTTGAGATATCAAAATGAAACTTCAATAGGTGCATAGATCTCACTCAGGAGGTGTGCACTGCACAAGAATGATAACTGTACCTTTTATATTTTTTGAGTTATTGCCCTTTGTTATTTTTCATACTTAATTTTTCAATTCAATTTTTTTCTCAAAAAGTATTTGAGGTATCAACTTGAAACTTCATAGGTGGATAGATTTTACTGAGGAGGAATGCAGCACACAAGGATGATTACCTACCCTGCATTATTTTTCAGTTATTGCCCTTTGTTATTTTCAGCCATCGGTATTCACATAGGTTTCAAATCTGTAATCACTATAGCCATCAGTTTTCATTACCAAAAGACCTCTTAAAATGGAATTATTCTGCTCTACTACATATACATTCTTCCAATGAGCAAACACATTCGGCGGGGGATGGCCATGTTGACATGGCTCTTGTTTACAAAGAAAACTAACTTTCAGTTATACGATACAAAGCCATAAATACGAAACTGAAAGTAATTTAAATACACAGCAACACCATTCTATAAATTCTGTGAATAGAAAAATAAACTTGATGTTGTTATTAATTGTTTACATCTAAATCTCAGGCTAATATACAATTGAGTAATAATACAAGTAAACAAAACCATGTTTAAAAAAGTTTGGTTTGTTTAATTGGGTTGTGTTTGCAAACATCTACCAAGCATACAAGCTTCTATGTTTATAACACCTAACCCTCAAATGATGACTCGTTGACAGGTTTTCTGATATGCAATGAGCATTGATTACACGAGTAGTCTGAGTTGTGAAAATGTGTCTTGATTATGAAGTAACTATTCAATTTTTCAAACTTTGATACATTTGCGGTAAATTTTGCTTGAATATGTTGATGCGGTCGGCGAAAAAAACTTCAATACATTGAAAAATTTGAAATTTGTTTCATAAAAGTTCAATACATTCGTGAAATTTACATGGGATTATATAGGAAGAAATGTTGGTACTTTTGAAAAACTTCGTCACATTGAGAAATTCGACACGTCGAAGTTTGATACATGGAAGTTCTACTGTAGTAGTTTTCTTGTAGTTTTTATTTAATGTAAAACAGTATAGTAACAAATCAGTTTTTAACTCACCTGAGCACAAAGTGCTCAAGATGAGAGCTTTTGTGATAGCTTTATGTCTGTTGCCCGTGCATGTGTGCGTCTGCCAACATTTAACTTGTCATCACAATAGAGGTCTTATTTTTCATCATATCAATATGGACAGTGGTGTGGATATATGTCTTGATGAAAAACTAGATCAAAGTATCCAAATATGGAAAAACCTTGTCATCTTGATAGAGGTCACATTTTGCATCCAATCATCATGGGTATTTGTGCAAATATGTGTAATGATGAATTCTAAATCCCAAGTCAGAAACTAGGTAACAGTCCTTAAATATAGAAAAACCTTATAACCATTCTATAGGTTATGAAGATCCCTATTGTGTTGCAATAATAAGCATGATGTCTCAGGTGAGCGATTCAGGGCCATCATGGCTCTCTTGTTTATATATATTGTTCAAGACTGTAAATTTCTATTAGGGTAATCCTAAAATCTTGAGACAAGGCAGTATTGACATGAGTGTTAACTTGTTATATGTTACATAGTCTTGTTTTCTTAATTTCAGAAACCAGACAGGTACTGCAAGTTTTGTGACACGGTCGTGAAAGGTGGAAAGTTGAAAAGACATATTCAGAGAAAACACAAAAGTGACATACCAGATACACTCTGCAAGGAAAATGAGAAACATATCTTTGGACAGCTGAGAAAAGAAGGAATTCATAAATTCAATACAAAATTAATGTGCAAAAATGAAGAACCCACAATGAGAGAGCGGAGGCCCCTTATAGAAGACAGTCTTAGGTTTTGTATTGAATGTAAGGGATATTTCTCAAATAAGTATTTCTTTCGCCACAAATGTGTGGTCATAAAGCCATCTCCTTTGAAACCAAAACTCGTGTTGTCAACAACAATGCAGCAGATAAAGAAGGATAAACAATTTCTTGACCTTCTAAACAGATTCCAAGATGACTTTGTTGGAAACTTATGCAGAACAGATGAAACTATAATAGTAGTGGGCTATAGGCATTTCAATCTTAGAAGGCATGAGGAGGGCAAAGAAGATGAAGTCAGAAAAGTAGTTATGTCAGAGATGCGAACTCTAGCTCGACTGTATTCTGAATTCCAAGGAAAATGTGGTGGCAAAACAGTTGAAGACATGTTATCGAGAAAACATTTGGAAGATCTGTGCTCAGCAATAACAACATTGACAACTGAGGATAAATCTGAAAAGCATGGTTCAAGGCAAAATTTTGATGCGGTAATACTGAGATCTGTTAAGACTTTGACAGGTTATTTTTCCAGTATTCAGGAAGATGCAAAGAAAAAAGAAATGAAACATTTTTTAGAAGCTTATAAACACAAATCAAAGGAGCTTATTCCAAAAGCTAGACAAACTTCAATAAAAAATTCATTTGAAAAGGCAAGAAGACCAACTAATTTACCACCAGAGATGGAACTAAGAAAATTAAAAGATTTCATTGAAAATGAAATAGATCGAATTACAACAGACTTTGATGTAGCTAATTACGCTTATCTTAGAACATTAGTTGTTGCTAGACTGACTCTGTTCAATGCCAGGCGTGGAGAAGAAGCTTCTAGGTTACTCCTTAAAGAATGGTATGATGCCTTAAATGACACTTGGCTTCCAGAATCTGAGATTGACAAAGTAGATGATCTGGGTGTCAAATACCTTCTTGGTAAATTCAAATTAGCCTACTTGCAAGGTAAAGGTAAAAGATTTGTACCAGTTCTAATTCCTGTTGATACAATTCATGCAATCACCATATTGGTTGAAGAACGATCCACTTTTGGAATTGCCAAAGAAAACAAATTTGTCTTTGGGACAAAAGAAAGAGCAGGAAACGGTACGTCTCATTGTTCTGGATGGCACGCTGTAAGTGAAGTGTGTACTAAAGCATGTGTCTCAGTTGGGGTGACTGCTACAAAAATGAGGCATAGAGCCTCTACTTACTATGCCAGTTTAGATATGTCTGAAAAGGATCAGAAAATATTTCTAGACCATATGGGCCATGGAAGACAGATCAATAAAGACAATTACCAGTGTCCCCAAGGAATAAGGACTGTCGCTGTAATGGGGGAAGTCCTCACAAACATTAATGATGGTAAATTTTGCTTTTTCCTTATAGTTTGCTTATTAGTATACACATAAGATGAATTAGCATTTAACAAATAATTTTAATTGTTGTTTTCAGCTTTATTTGATTCTATTTGAACTTAAACATAACAACTTTATTGGTATTTCTCAGTGATTCAGATTGGATTCATTTTTCCTAAGAGACAGACATACATCAAAAAATGTAGTTCATAACTGATTGGTTGCTTTGCTTTGAAATTAGAGTGTTGGAATTGAAATAATAAGTTCTAAAGAATGGTTTACGGTAAAATAACTGATGTTTATTTTTTTCTCATGAGGAATTATATATTGTGATATATTCTAATGCATTCGAACAAAAAAACCATGGGTTATTCTACCGTAAACCACTCTTGAGAAATATATAAAAATGGAAGTTATGCAACTTAATTTATAATAAATAATGGTAATACTAATAATATAATAATAATAGATGGATAGACAGTTAACATTTCTATTAAAATATGTAATCTAATTATTTAATGGCTAGACCAATCAATCAATAACTAAAGAATGCTTAGACCTATAAAGTTCAAACTTTATTTAGAGATTGATCATGACTAGTAGATGACCCCTATTGATTTTGTGGTCACTATGTCAAAGGTCAAGGTCACAGTGACTTTGAATGTCGAAACAGTTTCCGCTAAATAACTCAAAACTGCTTAGGCCTTTGAACTTTAATCTATATTTTGAGGTTGGTCATGACTAGTATATGATCTCTATTGGTATTGGGGTCACTAGGTCAAAGGTCAAGTTCACAGTGAATTTGAATGTCTAAACAGTTTCTGATCAATAACTTGAGAATCCTTTGGCCTATGAACTTCAAACTTAATCTGTAGGATGATCTTGATCAATTAATGACTCTTAATTATTTTTGGTCAATAGAACAATGGTCAAGGTCACAGTGACATTGAATGTCAAAACAGTTTCCGATTGATAAGTACAGAATGCTTAGGCCTATGAACTTTTAACTTGATGTGGAGATTGGTAATGTTTAGTAGACGACCCTTATTTATTTTTGGGTCACTAGGTCTAAAGTCAAGGTCACAGGTTTCCGATTAATAACTGAGAATCCTTGGCCTATGAATATCAATATGGAGTTTGATCTTTTATAAGTAAATGATCCCTATTGATTTTGGGGTCACAGAAAAAGGTCAATGTCACAGTGACATTGAATGTCAGAACAGTTTCCTATCGATAAAAGAATGCTTTGGAAGACAGATGTCAAGGTCACAGTGAAATTTTATTTCAGTACAGTTTCTTATCAATAACTTGAGATACTACAATTTCTATGAATTTCTATGGTGATTAGGTCATAGACCAACAAAAAGCTTCTTTATATGAAAAATTAATTGCAATAATAGGGGCATACATGTTTTACAAACATCTCTTGTTTAGTCTTATTCTGGAACCAATATGGCCTTCAGCTTCCCCAACCAACTCTCCCAGAATCCCTTCATGGCTCGAGTGTTTTCGGTAATTTCCTTAAGGGCCTCTTTGGTCCAATGGTAGACTCTGAGTCGACCTCTTGCCCTTCGACTGGAGTCTTTGTCAGATTTTTGCCAGTGATGGGTTGGGTAGATAGATGGTTCTTTCTAAATGACAATGGCTGTCAAAAGCTTTAGGCAGACTGGGAATCTGTACCCTCTCTTCAGGAGATAGTTCAAACATGGCTTTCAAACTGTCTACCTGATGGTGTGCCAGCATGGCTACTAGGGTCAGTAGGCAGCACCATTGCAACAAAGCTGTCACAGCATGTAACTATTATTATTATTATTATTATTATTATTATTTATTATAAATACAGTTGCATGATTTCTATTCTGATATTCCTATTTTAATTTTTAACTGGTGAAAGAAATCACTAATAATATTAAATAATCTTGACATACCAACTACCTATTTTACTAATATACTAAATCTTGGTAATTTGACTAAACCACCATCACCCAAATTTTAAATGTTTACTGTTATTGTTCTTTAAGAATAAAGTAACATTTGTTAATGTCATTTGTGTCTTAAATATTAAATTAAGGATTACAAAATATAAAGTCCAGAGACATTTTTGGTGATTTAGGACAAGTTTTTTAGACCTCGAAAAAAATGTTCAAACGTTTTTTAGTAATTTAGGACAAATGACCTGAAAAAAATGACCACTTTGGACATTTGTCTTAGGAAAAATGAATCCAATCTAAATCACAGTGTCAATTTCTTCAGGTGCATACCATAGTTCTGTACTGCAGTCTGGAAAGTTACTCCCAAAATCAAGCTCAAGCAGTAATACACAGCTTGATATTTCAGCTTCTGCAAGTGAGTTACAATTCTGATTGTTACATGTCATTTAGAAAATTTATTATGTACTATTTTGTTGATTTTGTATTGAGTATTCAGTACATATAATCATTTTTTTTGTAGTTGCTGGAATTTATTTGTTCACTGACAAGAGTGTTTGCAAAAGAGCTGCTCAATATTTTGGCTTTGTACTGATAATTCATTTTTTACAAAATAATAGACATTCGTTTTGGCTTCAACAAATTCTGATCATATGCAAATGCATAGAGCATCAACTGCAGATTGCTGTGTTTTGTATATTATTCAGTCAATGTGATAACATATCAATTTTTGCACTATTAGTAATGTTTGCTTTCAATTTCTTTTCTATTTTCATCAGTCATACATATATGGAAATAAATTTTATGAATGATACAAAAATTCGGCAGATTTAAATTAATTAAAAAGAATATTTATATGATTAATAAAAAACTGTTCCTCTATATTCAAAAGTTATATAATGTAAACATTTTCCAGATGATGCAACTTCAACAGTGAAAGATGTGGTCAAGTGTAGCATATCCAGTCAGCAAGGTTTGTTAATACTGTAGGTTGTTCTTTTAGATGAGGTTTTAATCGGTCACAAATGAGGTACAAATGTATATCATCTGATCAAATCTCAGAAAAAGTTGTAACAGTTTAGCTTTGTTGAGTTTAAATTAAAGCTCAAGATAAGAAGATATTGCAAGTACTCTGTTGTTTTTTGCTGCTTTTTGTGTCGCTTGCATCAGAGTTGTGGCAACATATGGGGATCACTTTTCCTTCATCCCTTTGTCTGTCTGCCTCTGTCTGTCTATCGCAAAACTTGTTCGGACTTCTCCTCAGAAATTACTGGTGCAATTTCAACCAAACTGTACAGGAATGACCTGTACCAAGTCTAGTTGTGCATATTATAGGCATTTTCCAATTCCATGATTTTAATCAGAGTTTTTGCCCTTTAAAGATTTATTTTTTTAAGTTTGTCTGGACTGCTTTTCTTATTCTACTGGCACAACTTGAATTATAATTTACAGGATTGATCTGTAGTTCAAGTATTTGCACATATATATCTTGTTTTTTGTTTGGATGATATATGGCCAATTTATAGCCCTTAAATAAAAAAAATTAAATCTTTTTCTTTATGTTAAAACTTACAAAACTTGTTGAGACTACTCCTCAGAGACTACTGGTGCAATTTCATCCATACTTTACAAGAATGATAAGTACCAAGTCTAGTTCAGTGCAAATTGGTTGGCATTGACGGCTTCAGTGATTTTATCAGCTATTGCCCTTTAATGATTTTTATTAAATTTTTCTCTTAAATTGGCTATCAACATGTGACACATATAATCATTAATTGCTCTTGTTAATCAGTGGGTGTAATAGGCTTGTCATTCTGGAAAATTAGTCATGCAATAACTAAACAAGAACTGTTCTTAAAACAAGGACAAGATATTAACCTTAAAGTAATTTAGAAAAGATGTTAAAGTTTTGCAATTCAATAAAGACTTAAATAGAACATTATGCAATTCATTTTTATTTAAAAGATTGTTATAAATATAAATGGCCTGTTGATTAAAAATTGCCAATTGTTGATTAAAAATTGCCAATAAATTGAATAATAAGTATTCCTTTTACAGGTGATACCGCAGAAATATTATGGAAGCTATCAACAGGAGCATGCTCTAGCATAGATTTGGTCAAAACTTCTGAAGATGAACAATTGGGTGAATGTTTTTTTTATGAATTAGACTTATTTCTTACATTCCAGTATATGTGAGTTCAAATCCCAGCCCAGTCACTTTGTTAAAGATGATGATGTGTCTAATGATCATACATCTTAGAAATACTATTGAAAACATAGGTTAAACCTAATTATAATAATTATTTCTTTTTAAAATAGGTCAACATTAATTATGTTTTTAAAGAGTCTTGATAATTGAACATCATTAGTTTATTTTTGTTCATTTATAGTATAGATTTCTTTTTTTACCTGTTAAAATGATATTAGATACTTTGCCCGGAGTTAAGATCAATATTGAACCCAATTTTTCTGTATTCAAAACACATTAATAATGGTTATATACAGATTGTCTTATTTCCCTATTTTGTAAGAAATCTAATTTCTAAATATTATTTTGCAGATGACGACTGCGGTGATGTTCGGCCTTTGATTCAGTCTGGAAAAGACAAACATCAAGGTTTTGTGTTTATATTATGTGTTTATTTATGCGAAAATAGTATTTAATCTCATTGTTACCGGACCAATTTTTTATGTGATTTTGAAGGTAGAAATCGGTCCAGTAGACTGAAAATGGCAAATTATCACTTTTCCGGAGCCCTGCTTAGTAGGCAACATTTGCTGTGCCAATGATTGTTTTCTAAAACAATTTCATGTAGAAAAAAATACCATGTTACCTTGAAATAGTGCTTTCCTGATGGTTACCATAACAAATGCATAATGACCTGTCCTGCTACTGTTTGTATGTCTTGATTATTCATAATTCATTTATTTTACAGTGAAATGGTCAGATAGTGATACAGCCTTACTCAGGAGACATTTTTCAAGTTGTGTTTACAGTAATGCCAAAGACAACAAAGGACGCTTACCAAGTGAGTACTTATCTTGTTATTATTTTATAATAATATGAAATTACAGCTTAATTTTTTTATTCCTCTACATCTAAATGCATTGGTTAGAACATTCTGTATCAAATTTAGATAACCTTTTATAGGTTGCACAAAGTGTATAGAACAAAACCCAAATGCAAAGCTTCCAATAAAGTGTTTTTGTTTGTTAGCTTATTAAAGCTTTTATATGATTGGTTTCAGTGATAACTTTATAACCAAATAAATCTAATATCCACTTTTTGAATTCTTTTTCAGGCAAGAAAGAGATAATGGAATTTCTGTCTAAGTTCAAGCCAACATCTATTTGCCATTTAACAGAAAAAGAACAGTATTTCAAAATGAGAGCAAAACTTTTCAATGAAAGGAAAACCTGTCGTGAGATGGTGAATAATAAAATGAAAAAAATTGTGTGTTCACCAAATGAAAAAGATAAATATTAATTGATGAATATTAATTGTAACATTTTCAATGGAATTATTGTTTCAAAAGTGCAGTGTAATTTCCAGTGACCTATGACGGTTATTAAAAACTAAAACTCAATATTCTTACATGTTTTAGTTATGATTTTTGTCCATTTTAAGCTTGTTTGTTTCGTCAATTTTGGTCCATATAATGCTCAAACCACCTTCCACATAAAATGTTTAGAACTATTGACAAAAGAGCATGGTGTTATAAGGTTTAAATAGTTACTTTATCATAAAAGGCACATCAACATAAAGATAATATGGCTTTCATTTAGGTCAAGGTCACAATCCCAAGATTCTATTTTGATGGAAATATACAAATGAATATCAATAGAAGATGTTTTGTGCATTGCTATTTGGCAAGGTGCAGTGTGCATGAATCATTGGCTAGGTCAAAGGTAAAGGTCACACTTTCAAGTTCAATTTTGAAAAAAAATGGACATAAACAGCCTATCCAGATAATTAGTTCTGTCTTAAGATTAGCGAATTTAAAATAACTTTGCACAAATATCGCCAATTGGCATTGGGAAACAAAGCGCATGGTTAGGTCAAATGTGAATTTGCAAGCAGCAGGTTTTTTTGGCGTATAACTTAATCATTCTGACAGAATGACTTGAACTTTGGTATGCATGTGTATTGCCATGAGGCAAAGTACAATGCGCATGAACTGTATGACTGGGTCAGAGGTCAAGGTCACACATCAGGGTCATATGTGAAAAAAATGGCCAACAACCGCTTGTTCGGACCACTCTCTCTTTAGATGGGAAAATTTAAAATAACTTGGCACAAATGTTTGCCATCAAGAGACGGTGTGCAATGCACAAGAACCATGTGACAGTAATTCAGTCAATAATTTTCCTGTTGTCATTAGGTCTTTGTTATGGAAGAAGTTTTTAAAACATAGCTACCCTTTCCCAAAAGCTTTCATGACTGGTCTATTGTGCTCTCCCATGAGGCACTCTTGTTATGTTTAATTGTAACTGAAGCTTTTTGTTTGAAACCGTAAGTGCTAAACCTTTTGGAACAAATGCATACTCATTTTTACGCAGAATCCTCTTGTTTAATGATTATATGTACATGCCTGAAGTGAGCAATGCAGAGCTTTAAAACCATCTTTGTTTAATTTATGTAATGAGGTATTTTTGACAATTAAAAGTATAACAATTCAACATGGATTTACACAGGTTTTGCCTAGTGTCCTGAAGTATTGCAGAAAAGGTCCCCTTAAAGCATGTTTCTGTCTTTAGACAAGGTCTCCTTAATGCATATATGGTATGTATATAAATATATAGAAGTGGTCTCCTTAAAACATGGTTTATACATTGTAATTATTAAGGAGACCAATAATTTTGTATATTTTAATGCTGTGTGTTGTTCAGTGTGAAAATAACATGTGTGCATCATTAATGCAAATACAGTGTGAAAATACTAAAATACTCTAGGTGACACCAGAAATAAAATATATACAAAAAGTCCCCGTAATGCAGATAAAAAAAATTGGTCTCCCTTTTGCAGTATTCAGGGTTTATATATATATATATATATATATATATATATATATATATATATCTGATATGTATATATATATTTGATTATATATATATATATATCTATATGTATATATATATATATATACATGCATATATATATATATATATATTTATATATATATATACCTGCATATATGTATATATATACACACAACACATTTATATATATATATATATATAATACATATACTATACATACACACACACCAATAAATGCACAATCTGAGAAAATTCAGTAATATAACCTTCAAGGTCAAGGTCATTAAAGAGCCCAAGCAAATTTGGGTTTGATAAACAACAAGGTCTGGTCCTTAAGAATGTTCTGTTATAATATGAAGTTTATCCCTTCAAAAATAGCAAAGTTACAGTCAGTTACTGCCAAAACAATGAAAATTTCAATAATTTGACCTTCAAAGGCAATGTCATTAATGAGTGAAGGTCAAGGTCTTTCGGTATATTTTTAACAGTTATCTTTGAAGATTATTTTGTTCAAGTTTGAAGACAATCCATTCAAAAATAACAAAGTTACAGCCAATAATAGCCAAAAAAATGAAAATTTCAATAATTTGACCTTCAAAGTCAAGGTCATTGATGAGTGAATGTCAAGATCTGACTGGTTTTTTTTAAGGGATATCCTTGAAAATTATTATGTTCAAGTTTGAAGACAATCCATTCAAAAATAACAAAGTAACAGCCAATAACAGCATGAACAAGCAAAAATTGGACTTTTAACCTTGAAGGTCAAGGTCATTTATGGATGAAGGTCAAGGTTAGTGTGGTCTACTGAAAGGTCTTGTCCCAAGGGTTGTTGTGGCCAAGTATGAAGACAATACAGCAAGAAATAAAAAAGTTATGATCCAGGTACAAGTTTTCGGACGGCAACGGCAACGGAGACGGCAACGGCAACGCCGACCTGACTATAACAATACCTCTACTTTTTTTTTCAAAAAAAAAAAAGTCGAGCTAAAAATGAATAAGTGATTAACGAAACCGCTCAAACAGTATTCAAACATACACACAATACTGGAATCAATGGTCTCGAAAAAAAGCACTGAGAAGAAGTGCAGCGAAACTGCTTTCACGCATTCAGGACTATTTGTGAAAAAAAAAACACATATAAAACAAAAGTGACATATAACTGTTGGTTTTCAAATTAGTTCAACATACGACAGCATTAGATCTGCGATTTCTAAACATAAATTTCCTTAAAATATTTTGTTTCCAAACTTGTTTCTTAGGCCATAATTCAATCCCGTCTGATTTGATAATTCATGTGAAAAAGTCCTGGAGAAAACTGTCGTTCCAGCAATATTTTCTTATCAAATCTAGTTTTGTTCTTCGAGCATGATTATGGAAATAAACAGACAGTTGTCTTGTGTTTTAATAGTGACAAACAATACGGTGATAATTGTCTATTGAACATAATATCGGTTAATTAAACATTAAACACTAACAATTTATGTTTGTTTGGTTGGATGGGTTGCACGGCAACAGTGACACATTACTGGTCATACGTACCGAACACCATTATACGTAGGCCTAAAATGTGTTGGTACAAGTGAGTTAGTTAAATCTAAGAATGAAGATATTTCCTTTAAGTAATCGATCATTGCTTTGGATAGAACTGAGAAAGTTATCTAAGAGAATTTACTCGAGAAAGCCTATCAAGAACATATGTATAACATCTGATATAAATATTAATCACAATGGTTATTACATAACACATTGGTTTAAAATGAATTTTTAATTTAAAAGATTATTTCGACTAAAAATATTTAAATGATGAGAAATGCTATTGAAATGATAATTAGATATTTTGCTATCTTAATACGCTTTTCTAAAAGTTTCTCAGCGGAGAAAGTCGACTTTTTCTTGAAATAGCACAATCAAATAAAAAAAGTTGAAGTATGAATAAAGTTAAAAAAAGTCATTTTAATAGGTTACAACAACAAACAAAAAAAAGAAAATTGTTTTAAACTAAACGATAAATATCATTAGCATATCATTATTTTGTTCACAGTTAACTACGGCCTGTATGACTACATTTTCAACTCTACGATATTTGCTGCATACGATACTAAACAAAGATAGAAATCTGTATGAATTTTTATAGTATGAACAGAATTGATAGGAAATTCGTATATTTTAAATAAAAGATGTTTATAAAAAACAATCCGGGAAAAGCTTTTATAAGTGTATATTGTAATGTCTCAAGAAACACACACACACACAAACGTTGATGTTCATGATATTGGTCCTCGTCCAAAGATTATGTATTTATTTTGAAGTTAGTTTTAAATATTTTAGATCAAATAGATATCTTTATCATTATTTAAAAATAATAATAATCTTTTTCTGTAGTCGAAAAAAGAACCATAAGCAAAAAGTTTAAAATGAACCTTTGACAATCAAATGACAGTATAATTCGAAATATTTCACTGGATTGATGTCTTCATATAAATTCCAATGCATTTACGTGTGACTCGACAAAAATCATTTATTTTGAAAAGGTACAGAAATCGTTTATCCACATAATTGCTCGCCACTTATTTTAAATGATATCATTTCATGAACAATCGGTAGTCAAAATAAAAGTGAATGTATGAAATGATGCGGAGATAAATCCACATCAAAGCCAAAAAGAACCATTATTGTAAATGTTAAAAATGTTGTGTCATAGTTTGGCGTAACTGATCTTATCTTGACTTATGACACCTTACAAATCGTTATCTATTTAATCTGCCATCCGATCTGTTTTATGTTTTAGCTTTACTAGTTTAAATTTCAAATCAAGCAGTAGTGTGAATAAATCAAATAACTCGTGTATGATAAAATAATTTAAAATGATATAGACCAAATTATTTTGCCCAAATATATTATCACTGTTAGACTTATACAGATATATATCATTGTGAAACATTAATTTTATTTTTGAAAAACGTTGATGTCAAAACGTTTATACTTTATAGCTCAACGTTTATGATTGAATATATTCTTAAACACTGAGAAAACTACATTTTTTTCCATTATTTATTTATTGATAGTGATAAGTGATGTTCACGTTTGTTGGTATTTTTTCATTTAAAGTTTTGAGGCATCGTTCAATGAATGCCGCCTTCGTTGGTGATATCAATTCTGATACGATATACAGAAACTTACAATTACGTAAATTTTAATATTAAAACAAAATAGCGGAAATATTACATCTCCAATTGCCAAGCTAGCCCAAAGAATAATTAAGAGCTTTCTATTCTGTAATATATAAGTATGAAGTGAAATAATTGAATCTAGTAAGAAGCCATATGACCTTGTCTTTAAATGATATGTTACAAATTCATTTAAAAATGCTTATTACGTTAAAAGCTTTTTGTGTACCTTAAATTGTTGATAACGATACACTTTACGAGATATAATATTTTCATACTATAAATTTAGTTTCTGACATACTTGTGAATATGCAAATGCATTAAGCGACCAATAATTGAAGAAAGACACATGAAAAGCAATTATAGAATGAAATGTTTGT